GGGGGGGGGGGCGGGCTGAGCCCCAATGCCTTCCTCCATCTGTGTACGCCTCTTGGGGTTACCTCAGACACAAGGAGAAATCCAAACTATTATTCAAAATGGGCACTTTAAAATCAAAGCTTCACTGAAAGTTATCCCTGCATGGTATCAGGTATAACACCACGGGATTTCGAAAAGGAATTAAATTAATCTGCACAAGATGGAGATCAATGCTTGATCTCGAGGATCCTATCACAAAAGTTCTGATTTCTGAAATTGAACTTTTATCGACCAATTTTTTGATTTTTTAAAATTTTAATTAAGGGATTTCTTGTTGCCACAGACGGGTACATGAACCTTCAGTTGGCGAGTACAGAGGAGTACATAGATGGAAATTGTACAGGAAACCTGGGAGAAGTTCTGGTCAGGTTCGTAAACAACAAACATGTTAACCTTTTGCTTAGGTACTGAAACATTTTGGCATCCCAGATCCGCTAAAATATGCGGACCCGTATCCAAGGGCAAAATATCAACCAAAAACTAAGTAAAAATCTACTGTTCCCAAAACTCAAATCTGAACTGTAGATTACTGAACATGTCCTAATCTCTGAATGGTTCATCAAGTTGTTGCATAAGAATAAGTAAAACAAAAAGATAAATAATTCAAAAATCCTGCTGTTAAAAAAATCAGTAAATCTCAATTAAATGTTTATGACCTGGATCCGGTTCTGGATCCATTTATTCCAGTGCGGATCCGCATCGAAATTAAATGTATCTTTAAGGGAGAGACCGGCAATGTATAGAACTTGAGTGGAGAATGGAAAATGGAGTATTATGAAGAAAAAAAATTAGAATTCATTTGAGACATTTAAAACGTTATAATGATGTATTATTCCAGAACTTAAGCGCAAAGCCGACTTTCAAAATCATCCATTTGGGTGGTTACATTTTGAGAATCGATTTTTTTAACGACGACAAAAAATGTAACAAAAATTCTTCAGTAAACTAACAAGTTGTTAAGGAACAGACTGAGAAAATAAAAATTAACTAATCATCGAAAATAAGTAATTTTGTTCAGTTATCAGTTTCTGTCATCTCTCATTGTTCACAAATATTTTCTGCAGATTTTCTGGAATTTTTATTGTAAAGGCGACATTGGAAAAATTTGTAGAAATCTATGAACGAATCCGAAAAATTAAGAAGTTCAATATAATGAGGAAACAGAAATAATTGATTCTAACATTAATATATTGACAAATTTCTTTTGAGAAATATGTTCATAAACATTTCATTAGTTTACTGTAGAATTTTTAATACATTTTTCATCGTCGTTAATGAATGATTTTAAAATATCGATTCTCAAAACGAAACCACCCAAATGGTTATTTTTGAAAGTCGGCTTTGCACTCAAACTCATTAATAATAAATCATTAAAACGGTTTACATGTCTCAAAATTGATCCTTAAAAATTTCTAAACAAAACTACATTCTCAATTCAGCTACCATACATTACCGGTCACTCCCTTTAAGCACTGATGCTAACCTCAACTAGTTACGGATCCTGAACCTTTAATTCCGTCCTGAAAAAAATTGGACCAGGATCCTGAACATAATTTTTTAATTGTCATTTAAATAACTAGGTTTTACTGCTCTCTTCTGTCAACATAAAATCTTTATTTATGTTTGGCCAATTTGATCCGGATCTGTGGATCCTGAGCTCTGCCTACAGAGAAAGGAGCCTTATCAAAGATCAGATGGAAGAATTAGAATTAATTCTATAGTTCAAAAGTTCACAGCTTCGGTTACGCAGATTTTTATAGTGTTCAGTTCCAGGTTTAGAACAGCTGTTTTTACATCTGTTATTCCAAGACAACTTATTAAAGGAGAGAAGGGGAGGGTTTGCATACTGCCGTTAGTTTGAAACAATGCCTAGATCCGGATCCGTTGAGTTAGAACTTTTTATTATTTCCGTGAATCCGGATTTGATCCGGTTACAGACAAATCAAATACTTCCATGTCTTTGTTAAGAAAAAATTATTATTTGTGGAATTCAATACAAACACTGAGACATTTTAAGTTCAGTTCAAATTCCTCCCAGAAACTGCAGTACACTGTTTTCAAACAATGATAAAAGGAAATACTACGTAATTTTGTGTGATAATAGAACCTTGAGCAATCTTCTGTAAATGAAAAAATTGGCTTTGACAAAAATTGATAGAGGGGTAAAACTGTCTTTTAAAAAAAAATGTTCCCCAGAAGGTCAAAACTTGCCTTGTGATGTCCAAATTTCTTTTTTTTCTTATCTTCAAAAACTTATGCCCCCCCAATGTTTTCACAATTGCCGCGGTTAACTCAAAAACCCGGCGGCTAGGGATGTTTAGAAAATTATAACTTATAAAAAAATTAAATTTTGATTTAGATTTTAATTTTGGCTTCTTTGACTTTTAATATGATTGAAATAAGAATTTGAAATGTGATGAGAAAAATATTTTTAAATCTTTTGAACAACCCTGAAATAGAGCCAAACCGTGCTCTGCATGCCACAATGGCGGAACCGGCTGCTCTCTCAGCACTAAAACTTATTAAATCGATTTTAACAATGTTTGAGAGCTTGACACCGCTTGGAATTCCTCCTAGATGACGGAGAAAGTATAATCATGAGTTATTGTGATAATATAAGTGGTATTGGAGGTTTTTCTGTTTCATTTGTGAAAAACGTTTTGTTAACCATTTATTTGTTTCAGACAAGAAATCAAATTATCAAAATGGCCGGAGCTATGCCCTTGAACCCCAAACCTTTCCTTAACGGACTCACCGGGAAGGCTGTCCTTGTAAAGCTGAAGTGGGGTCACGAATACAAGGTGGGTAATGAAGGTTTTTGAGAATTTTCATGTTTGTCATTTTCGAAAAGATATAAAGGTAATTTCCTAGAGAACGATTTTTGGCCCCCCTATATGTATTTTACACCCTGTTTTTGGATTTGGGTTTTCTTCTATTTTTTCCATTTTGTAGATGTAACAACGTGCTGTACGTGAGAGCGGCGGAGGACGAGGCGGAGGCGGCGATGGAATAACGGCGGAGACACCGGTCGACAAGTGATCTCAACCAGATGATCAAGCTACCTGTATTTTCGGATCAATCATCCGACCCGATCATGTCATTTTTTTTCTCATAAAAAAACTTCATTTTTAACCTTTCAGAGTGAAAATGGGGATAAAAGATTTCCAAAGTTATATAGAGCAAGATCCAGAGTTAAGCAAGGTTGGGGTGACCAGCCTGGATCTTGTTAAAACAGCTTGGAAACTTAACAAACCACATGGACAGGTAGCTTTCAGTGGTTATATAGTATATAGATAATACACTACTCTATCAATTAAAAATAAATTTCAGCCAGAAATGTTTAATTCATCAAAACGATTTTTTTCTTAAATTATTTTTTATACTGAAATGGGACTGACCTTTTTTCCTGTCGGAATCAAACCTTTTTTAGAGGGGGTGCAATACAATGATTTATATCTATAGAAATGTGCATCTTAAAGGTTGTTCGGACTTTATAATTGAATTAAATTGTTTCTCGCTCTGTCCTCTTTTCCAAAATGGTGAATAATCTCTTTAATCTGTTTTCTTGTGCAGGTTCCTGCGTTAGCTCCGAACCGTCTTGCTCTGGTGGTGGACGGAGAGAACTGTCTTGACAGATTATATGGAGGATTTTACTCAGGTAGCGTATACAGTATACGCTATATATAAAATTTTCTTGAAAAAAAAATTAACCAAGCGCCCCCCCCCCCCCCTTTAAATCTTTGTTCTCAAATGTTTGTGCTGATCTGATAAATGTTTTTATTCGCTGAGAAAGAATTTGCGAAATCAAAGAAAACCTTTTCCCAATCTGTAGTTTTCTAGCTCAAAAGATAATCTCTAATCCAATTTGGTTTACCCGGAGAATGAGTTTCTTTAAAGCGGGAGCATAATATTAGTTTTCTAGTTTTGTTCTTGCGTTTGCTCTTGTCAGGAGTTTTGATGGAAAATGGAACCACATGTAGAATTCATCTGCATTTTCTCGTATTGTTTATATATAGATTGGAGTTGTGGGGGAAAATGGAACCACATGGTAAAATTCATCTGCATTTTCTCATATTGTTTATATATAGATTGGAGTTGTGGGGGAAAATGGAACCACATGTAGAATTCATCTGCATTTTCTCGTATTGTTTATATATAGATTGGAGTTGTGGGGGAAAATGGAACCACATGTAGAATTCATCTGCATTTTCTCGTATTGTTTATATATAGATTGGAGTTGTGGTGGGGAATGGAACCACATGTAGAATTCATCTGCATTTTCTTGTATTGTTTATATATAGATTGGAGTTGTGGTGGGGAATGGAACCACATGGTAGAATTTCTCTGCGTTTTCTTTACAACTCTACAACAAGCAAACGTTCATACAGCAATCTTCGTCAACGGAGCATTAGAACCAGACAGGTATAAACTATATATATACAATATATATACGTCACCTTCAGAGATTGTGAAAGTAAAAATTTCCATAGAAAAGAACGAAAGACAAAATAAAATATCCATTGAAAAAAAATAAGACTTTAATTAAAATTCTTTTTTAAAAATTAGATAAATAAAAATGAACAGCTTTTAATAAATTAACATGGATGTCTAATTCATACTTTATCAGACAACGCTTGTAACTTGGATACCATGTTTTAATCGGACATGTCACTCCATCAATGGAGGCTCACCTTAAATTATGTTTGAAGTCCCTTTATTAAAATCTTACAATGTTCTTGGTAAAAAACTGACAAGTTCACTACAATTCCAAAATGAACTTTAAATGTAAATTTTCATGCTTTGTACTTTACTAAGATTGAATTGAATTCTTTTATTGCAGGAAAGTAACGGAAATAAGCTTTGTTATTTATTTGTAATTGAAATAATTTGCATTTTCTGCATTTTTTCTGAGGGAATGGAATTAATATTTGTTTCTGGTTTAATAATTGGATTTGCCTCTAAGCTTTTTTATCTCGTATTGACACTTTTCCCTCGAAAACTCATCATTTCCTGCTACAATTTTCAGGAACGTATTCATTTTCATAATAAAACTCTAATTACATTTTTCCGTCTAGTTAATCCTATATTTGATATCATGGATATCAAGGTATCCGGTAACTGCACTTGTCAATATATCCGGGATTCTCTCTTTAAAAAAAAACCATGTGTTTAGATCCGGGATCCGCACTTTTTAAAAACGTTTCAGGGGTGTATATTTTTCAGACTTACCCTTTAAAATGATATTTGAGGAATAAGAATATGCACCTTTAAGCCAAGTTTCTCTCATAGCTATTCTAAATTATGCAAATTAGAANCGGATCCAGGTCATTTCTTTAAGATTTACTGAATTTTTTTAACAAAAAATAATTTTCAAATTTTTGTTTAATTTTATCCTAAAACTTGATGAACCATTCAGAAATTAGAAAATTTTTATAATCTCTTTTTTTTCAAAAGTTCAGATTTGGATTTTAGAAGTAAAAAATTTTTTTTTTTGCAGTTTTTGGTTGATATTTTACCACTTGGAACAGGATCCGTGGATAAGCATATTTTTGCGGATCCGGATCCAGGAATCCATAATCTGGATCCTTACCACTACTTTTTACCCAGAAAATCATTTATTTTCCCCAATTCAGCGAAAACCTCCTTAAAAAATGTGACGCTTCGCGCAACCATATATTTCCGGGGAAAATAAATGATTTTCTAAGAGGGGGTATGATTTTTTTAGGAAAATTACACCCCTGAAACAATTTTGTTCAGATCCGGGATCTGCACTGTTCAGATCCGGGAAAACAATATGTCCGGATATACTTCATAAATATTTATTTTTTTCTGATTCTTTTCCATCTTGTCTAATTGTCTTGAACACTTGAACCCGACTCTCAGAGCTCGTTACTATATTAGTCGCCCATCCATGAGTTTTCAAGGGATCAGTGGCCGAATTTAAAGAATTTGAGCGGCGGTTTAAATTTAAGCCGCGGTTTAAATATGGATGGTTCCACTTAAAATTGTATCAAATGTTTCAAAATTTAAGCCGGCGCTTATTTTAAACCGGGTCTTGGTAGATTTAAACCGCGGCTCAAATTCTTTAAATTCCATCTCAGGCTGAAATGTTCAGGGTACCCTCCCCAATCTACACTCCACAGGGTACCCTCCCCATTCCACACTCCAAAGGGTTGTAGTATAAACTACCAATAGGGTGTTATACAAAAAAGACGAGTCAGTCCTAACAAACTATCAGTGCATTTGGTTTGGAATTATGATGATAATTAAGAGACATATTACACTGCAAACATTTATTAACGATATAAAAACATTTATTACTTGTATGGTCTTGCTCTACTTGTTCTTGGTGAGGGGGGAGGTGAGCATGCACCATAGAGTGTACGAGTGAACACTCTAAGGTACAGAGGCTGTTGCAGGATATCGGAAACGATCCAACTCCAGCAATATTCGGCCCTCAGGGACAACTATAATTCAACCAAATTCTGATAAATTGTTTGGGTATAGGATCTAACTGACTGCGCGGAGTTAGGTTTAGTATGATTGTAAACAGTGCAGTTCACTGTTTATAAACAGAGCAAAAAGGGGCAACAAGTATATATGGAATATGGTATTAATATTTACTGTGTATTAAGTATAATACATTATACAACAAGGGTACCCTCCCCATTCCACACTCCACAGGGTACCCTCCCCATTCCACACTCCACAGGGTACCCTCCTCATTCCACACTCCACAGGGTACCCTCCCCATTCCACACTCCACAGGGTACCCTCCCCATTCCACACTCCACAGGCTAACTTGTATTAAATTTGGTAGCAGATCCGGGAACTTTGAAAATCCGAATAAAGAAAACGTTTGGTTTGTACTTTAGTTGATGAAGTTGTAGCAGGTTTGATCCTGAAGAACTGATTGATGATATTTGACAAATTAAATGCTCAATTAGGTTTACTCTTTTTTCTTATCAATTAGAGTTTCCGAGAATTAGCTGGATTCGTACTTTGATTTGTTTTCGGATTGAGTAGTTCTTTCTAGAACTTTCCTTTCGAGTTTTTCCACTTCAGTAATAAAAATAATGATATTCAAATTTACCCAGGACAAGGGTTTATATTTTTCAGAAATACCCCCCCCCCCTTGATTGGGCATATTTTTTGGTCTAAAATTAACTGAAAGGGAACATTCAATGATTTGTAATGCCCCCCTTAAAGTTTCATCCTGTGAAGAAATCCTCGAATACGGTTTTGTTATTTTAAATTTGAAAACTGCAGACAAATTATTTTAGTCTGTTTTCAGTTCTAACAATAAAACCATAAAAATAAAAAAAAAAACGCGAAATTGAATTTTTAGGAAAGCAACAAAAAAATTCAAATCATGATGTGAAAGAGAAAATTTCTAATTTTTACTATTTGATGAGTTTTGTAATATTTGTTAAGGTTTGACGAGTGGGTAGCGGAGCAGATGAGAATAAAACAGAACGTGAAGAATATATTAAAACATCTGAATAAGAGGGGTACTCCGCCCCCTAAAGTCTGGTGGGTCCCGCCCACAGGGATTAAAAGCGTACTCCGCCTTGCTTTGAGGTTGGTATCTTATCATCTGACCTAAACACACAGGTTTTAAGTTTGAGTTAAAATCATCCCGAAAATATTTTTTCAATTTAATTTAAACCTTTTTAACAGTCTTTGAATTTGATATGTTTTTTTGGCATCGTGACAAATTTAATAAATAACTCCGGAGACACGAATTTCAGAGTTTTCATAATCCTAAAAATATCCGATTGTCCTAGTCGCATCTGTCGCCTACTCTAGCTTTTTCACAACAAATACCCAACCTTAAAGGATACGGACAGTCTTTATAAAAGGGGGAGGAAGGTCAGTTAAAGGATTGAAAATTGGACTGAACTTTTTTCTTATTTAAGTTACCTCTTATTTTTGGATTTGAATGATTGAGTGATTGATTGATTGCAGGCACCTAAATGTTCCTGTGATGAGCAGCATGGAGAGTCATCACCAGGAAGTGGTTGGGTTCCTCCGGGAGAACGGATACCATGGGATTGTAGCTGAAGATTCCGAATATTGTATCTTTGACCCACCAAGGTATATAAAAAGGGGTGTGGATTAATAGGGGAATGTGAGGAAACCTCAAGGAGGGGGGGAGTTGGCTAGGTTCCTCCGGAATAACGAATTCATAGGATTGTAGCCGAAGATTCCGAATATTGTATCTTTGACCCACCTAGGGAAGTAGATGGGGGGAGGGGGGGAATAATAGGGGAAGGGGATGGAAAGTCAAGGGGCTGGGAACAATAAAATTTGTATATGAAAATTAACCATTTGCAAAAAACACTATTGTCTGTTTAGATATTTCTCTGCCCACTCGCTGAAGTTAACATTGAAGTTTACGGTGGAGACCAAGGAGATCGTCATGGATGAGGTCGCCAAGGGGTTCGATCTTAATCCGAACAGATTTAGGTAAGTTTGAAATGAAAAATTGGCAAGTTATTTCCGTCTTCTCAATAATGACTGACTCAAGAAATTCTTTTTAAAAAAAAATCTCACAGAGATCAAACTCCTTAAAGAAAGGTCTGTGCAATAATTCCTTACTTTGTAAAAAAGCTCTCAATTTAATTACTCTCGCTGCTTTTTTTCCGATTGGGGGTTTACTAAAACACTCAAACCAACTTTAAAGTCAAGTTATCTCATAATTTATTTTGTTCAATGGTTGCTCTACTTGGAAACCATATTCTAACTGAATCTGTTTAGTTTAATGGCTGCTCTACTTGGAAACCATATTCTAACTGAATCTGAGTACTATAGAGAAAATCGGTTTAAATACGGATCGCTCTATTTTATAATTCGTGAACTATCCCTTTAGCCTAATATTATAGGAATCAGCGGCTCATGATATAATTCGAGCAGTGGTTGACTATGTCCGATCCCTGCAGACTGTTGAGGATGTGGTTGCTCTGGGAGCTCAAATATTCGGATCAGAATCTGATCCGAGGATTAGAAAACTCAAGGTATATCGCACTCATCCCCTCTTTTGACATCCATTGCAGATTTGTTTCGTAATCAAATCTTTTGTCAAAAAATATTTTGTAATAAAGTAAGAACTATTAAATGGTTCTAACGGTTTTGTCTTTTTAGTCGACGAAATTATCGATTTCGCTTCAAAAAAAAAATTAATATTTGATTCATAATTCCTAGATTTTTTACATTAAATCCCTTCATGTGAAATTCATTACTCTTGCTTTATACTGAATATTTTTTTCAGCATTTCAATAACTTTTTATTAGCTAATTTCTAACTTTTGTATTATCTCTCCCGTTGAGTTGAGGACGGAATATTGCTGTTGAGTGTTGTTGACTATTACAACAGTAGACCTGAGGACGGATATATTTTATATTGTTGTTGTAGAGTGTTGTTGACTATTACAACAGTGGAACTAAGGACGGATATATTTTATATTGTTGTTTAGAGTGTTGTTGACTATTACAACAGTAGACCTGAGGACGGATATATTTTATATTATTGTTGTAGAGTGTTGTTGACTATTACAACAGTGGAACTGAGGACGGATATATTGTGTAATGTTTGTAGAGTGTTGTTGACTATTACAACAGTGGAACTGAGGACGGATATATTGTATATTGTTGTTGTAGAGTGTTGTTGACTATTACAACAGTGGACCTGAGGACGGATATATTGTATATTGTATGTGGAGTGTTGTTGACTATTACAACAGTGGAACTGAGGACGGATATATTGTATATTGTATGTAGAGTGTTGTTGACTATTACAACAGTGGATATATTGTATATTGTTGTAAAGTGTTGTTGACTATTACAACAGTGGATATATTGTATATTGTTTGTAGAGTGTTGTTGACTATTACAACAGTGGAACTGAGGATGGATATAAGAAGTTTGTTCCTTCCAAGAAAAAGAAAAGAGAAGGTTAGATTATCCAGTTATAACACTGGAAAAGTCTCTGTTTAAAAACATTTTATATTAAAGTAATTAAAGGGAATGTTTTTTAAAAACTTTTATATTAAAGTAATTAAAGGGAATGTTGACGTTATTTCAAAAATTTTAAAACTTTACAATTTACACGCCCGCTTCACAACGGTATCCTTGTTGCCTTTAATCGGATTAACAATAAGGAAAATATCATTGTTTTCTTAAAATCTTTCTTTTTCTCTTCTTTATTTTTTATGTTTTTTCCATTTTTTTAAAATCTCAAACTGTTCCCTCTCATTTAATGAGAAGCCTTGGAAACATTGAGTATATTTTTCTTTTTAATCGAACGTTTGATAAAATGAATGATGTTAGGGTTTAAATTAAACTTTTTAATTGTTCTTCCTGGCCACCCCCTTCCCCCATTGATTTTGTGTCCAATTTTCCAATTTTTGCTAGGAATCTTTTTTTTTATTTTGAACGACCAAAATGCAGGTTGTAATTACCCCTGGTTTCTTGAAGTAAATATATGGCCCAAGTTTTATTTAACAAACCTCCAGGTGTTCAATATAGATATCATTTGTCTTAGTTGGTTGAATTTTTAAACATTCACTTTTTGAAACAAAACAAAAAATGACAATGTATCTATTAATTTTCTAGTAAAGAAAAGGTTTTTAGATCTCAAATAATATTAAAGATATTTAAAGGCACTGTTCACTTATTTGGGTAATTTGAGGATTAACTAAATAACCTTTTAGCTATTCATTGGTAATAGTCTTACTTTTCAAAGACAACTGTGGCCGGAGAAAAAGCCAATTTATCGTTAAGAATTCCAGCGCAAAGGTATGATACCTTTGCTTTTACACTATTTGATGCTTTTTGTCATCGTCATGGATTTTTTTAAATTTTCAAATAATAAAATTAAACTGTAATTAATTGTAGATTATATATCTTAAATTTTTTTCAAAATTATTTTTAAATTGTCTTTTTCCAAAATCTAACTTATTTTAAACATTTGACAGTTTGATACGTTTTCCTTTCTTCCTTAGAAATCCCCGTGTATAGGGGTGTATATTTAGTTAACATATTTTTTTCTATAATGGTATAAATATGGTTTTTTTAAATCCTGGTTTTCAGCGCCGAATTGTAATTTTTTTAATGTTTGAAAATTATCTGAACCCCCTGGATTAAAGGGACAGTATTTGATTTTGACCATTTCTTCATTGTGTCTTTTAATTAGTTGCAGAGAAACCGCAAATGAAAATATTTAGTTTTAAAATAAAAGCATAACTAACTATCTAATTTATACTTGGTCAGACAAAGGTTTTGGGGGTATCGTTGTAAATCGGGAATTGCCCTCTATGCATATAGGTTTACTTGAAACTACGCTACCAGTCCCTTTAAGTTAAGAAAAAATTATATGTGCAGGTATAAAGCTTGCTAGTGATACTGCCGAGTCCCAGGGTGAGAGCAGGCAAGCTTACAGGAACCTAACCCAAGGAAAGAAGAAAGGAAAGGTGAGACAAAACTCAGTCATATCATAATTAAAATCTCTTCAAAATCTTTGAATCTTTACGTCTGATTTTGCACAGTCCATTTCGTGTTATACTTGTTTGTCTGTGTTTTTTTTTCATTGTTAGTTGGCCTTCAATTCTGAAAATTATTCTTTTTTACCAAAGTCCATTATGGAGGGCGCGGTATATTCCTAGAGAAACCCGAGGGCGCCCATCATTTACCTTAAAAAAATTGGTTGGCAATTAGCAGCTGGCTTATTGATTGATAAGAAGCCACAAAACAAATCAAATCATGGGGCGTAGAGATCACTTGAGCTCTGACAAACAGTTTGATGGTTCAAAACTCTGTAGCATACATCCGCAATTTACCAACAGAGAAACCAAAATAAAAAATAGCGAGGTTTTTGAGAAAAGAATATTCGTCCTGGACAGTGCATAGGATCCATTGGATCCGCAAGATTTTGGCATCTTGGATCCGGATCCGAAAAAATATTCGGGTCCACGTATCCGGATTCAAGGGGCAAAATATCAACCAAAACTGTTAAAAACACTTTTTTACTCTCTAACGAGCAATCTGAACTATTAAAAAAAGAGATTATAAAGATTTCCTGATTTCTGAATGGTTCATCCAATTTTTGCATAAATTATAGCGAAAAAAGACAAAAAAAAATTAAAAATTCTGATTTGTTAAAATAAATCAGTAAATCTTAACGAAAAGACCTGGATCTGGATCCATTTTTTTCTAGTGCGGATCCAGGATCCGGATCCGCATCAAAATTAAATGGATCCTAAGCACTGGTCCTGGATCACAAAAAGTTTTGAATAGTGCCGTTGTGAATCGGACTTGAAACAAGGGATTTAGGCCATTAAATATGAATCTATTTCAGATTGTTGACGGAAATGGGGATCTGGAGACTCATGACGCTGCAGACAAGTTTGAGAATTTGACCATTAACACAGATCCTATTGCAGAGGATAGTAAGGTGGGATAGGACATATCGGGACAAAATGGTTTTTAGGAGGATTTAGTAGGAGGGGAGGGATAGTTTTTGGGAGGATGGAGGAGGAAAGACGTTTTGGGAGATTGAGTAGGAGAGGTAGAATAGTTTTGGGAGGATTGAGTAGGATAGGTAGGATAGTTTTGGGAGGATTGAGTAGCAGGGGCGGGATAGTATTGGGAGGATTGAGTAGGAGAGGCAGAATAGTTTTGGGAGGATTGAGTAGCAGAGGCGGGATAGTATTGGGAGGATTTAGTAGCATGGGCGGGATGTTTTCGGGAGGATGGAGTAGGAAGGGCGGAATAATTTTTATTGGGATAGTAAATTGTTTTATCTGTATAGGACGCTGTGTCTGCTGTTGCATCTGGGCACATGAAGTTGAGTGAGAAGAGAAAATAAACTATTATATCTGTATAGGACGCTGTGTCTGCTGTTGCATCTGGGCACATGAAGCCGAGTGAGGAGAGAAAATAAACTATTATATCTGTATAGGACGCTTTGTCTGCTGTTGCATCCGGGCACATGAAGTTGAGTGAGAAGAGAAAATAAACTATTATATCTGTATAGGACGCTTTGTCTGCTGTTGCATCCGGGGACGTGAAGCCGAGTGAGGAGAGAAAGTAAACTATTTTATCTGTATAGGACGCTGTGTCTGCTGTTGTATCCGGGCACATGAAGTTGAGTGAGGAGAGAAAATAAAGTATTATATGTATAGGACGCTGTGTCTGCTGTTGCATCCGGGGACGTGAAGCCGAGTGAGGAAGGAAAATATCCAGTAAAGAAAGAAGATGTTTATCCCACAATCAAGAATAATGTTAAACCCGTAGTTCCCTCAGCTCATCCAGAGGTAACTGTCGCATAAAATGGGTTGTAGGAGTAGTTTTAAGTGACCCACAATTATAGAGTACCTTTGAAATATTTGTTTAGTTAAATTTGGGAAGATATCGGTAAAAATTTTCTTTCTTAAAAAGTGTGAAATTCTCGCAATTTTCTTTATTGTTTCTGCATAAATCCGCAATTCTACAGTGAAATCTTTATTTAAAGTAATAATTTTTAAACTTTAGAAAATAATATATTAATAAGTTTTGGTCAGACAAGGGTTTAAAGGGTATTGTGTGAATTGCACGGCCACCATTCCTATCCGATGTATCTGCTATCAAGTTATACCAGTTGGTAACTGGTTTTCTCAGTGTTCCTTAAGAGCAAAAAGGTTTAAGTTGGTATAGTGGAGCAAATTCAACTTGTTCCTGGTTCTCATGCAAGAGAGTGATTGGAAACAAGTTTCCGTCAAATCATATCACTCCGTCCTAATTAGATATTGAGGGTTTTTTTAAGTCACACACTGTACAACTGGAGACACCTTTTACATTCTTAGTAATTTTTTTTCTGTGAAAGTTATCCCATTAATTTCTTTTCCCCGACCTTTCTGCCTGTATTACCTTGTTCAGTATAAATTTTCATGATTTCCATAAACCCCATCATGGACCAGGAAACAGGTTTCTTTCAAAACATATCTCAAGGAACACTGTGTTTTCCAATACATGTGTCTGATAGATTTAAATAAAAATCTCGGAACAGAAATATATGAAAGAAATGAAATGTTCCTCTTTTTTCTTGTGTTCACAGTTGCTTTAAACAGAATTCAATCTTGAATCATAGACTGATATGCGCTGTCTTTGAAACTAAACCTAACGTAGAAGATGGCGGCGTAGATATTTCCTTATAGTTATCTAACATTGTCTATATATTAGTCTATATATTAGGTTTTAAAGACTGCCTCGGACAGGCACAGGCAGGCCAGCATGTCTCCAGCTCTCTACAGTCTTCTAACTACAGGTATAAATACAATTATAGGCTATTTTTTTTTAAACAAGATGTATTGCTATTTCTTTGTATGGTTTCTAGAAGATATAAATTATTAGATATTTATTGTTAAAAGATCCCCCCAACTGTATTTAATGTTTCAAGGAGATATGAAGTTGCCCCAACTGTCAATTCAGGAGATATAAAGCTGCCCCAACTGAATCGTCTCTGATATATATAGCTGCCCCAACTGTTATGTTTATAGGAGATATAAATCTGCCCCAACTGTATTGTCTCTGAGATATATAGCTGCCCCAACTGTATTGTTTCTAGGAAATATAAAGCTTCCCAACTGTATATATCGTTTCTAAGAGATATAAAGCTGCCCCAATTGTATGTATTGTTTCTAGGAGATATAAAGTTTCCCCAGCTGTTAGGAGATATTAAATTGCTCCCAACTGAAAATATTGTTTCAAAGAGAATTAAAGCTGCCCGAACTGTATTGTTTTTAGGAGATTTAAAACTGTCTCAATTGTATTGTTTCTAGGAAATATGAAGCTGTCCCAACGGTATGTATTGTTATATGAGATATTAAGCAGCCCCAGCTGTATTGTTTCTAGGAAATATAAATCTGGCCCAACTGTATGTATTTTTATATGAGATATTAAGGAGCCCCAGCTGTATTGTTTCTAGGAAATATAAAGCTGCCCTAATTATATTGTTTCAAGGAGATTTAAATCTGTCTCAACTGTATTGTTTCCAGGAGATATAAATCTGTCCCAACTGTATTGTTTCTAGGAGATATGAAGCTGCCCCAACTGTATTGTTTCTATGAAATATAAAGCTGCCCGAACTGTATTGTTTTTAGGAAATATAAATCTGCCTCATCTGTATTGTTTCTAGGAAATATAAATCTGCCCCATCTGTATTGTTTCTAGGAGAAAGAAAGCTGTCCCAACTGTGTCTTTTTTCTAGGAGATGTAAAGTTTCTCCAACTGTTAGGACTTTTTAAGTTGCCCCCATCTGAATATATTGTTTCTAGGCGATATAAAGCTGCCCCAACTGTATTATTTCTAGGAGATATAAAGCTGCCCTAACTGTTGTTTCTAGGGTGTATAAAGCTGCCCAAACTGTATGTATTGTTTCTAGGATATATAAAGCTGCCCCAACCGTATTTATTGTTTCTAGGATGTATAAAGCTGCCCCAACTGTATGTATTGTTTCTAGGAAATATAAAGCTGCCCTACCTGTATTTATTGTTTCTAGGAGATATAAAGCTTCCCCAACTGTTAGAGGATGAAGGACACACTGAGATCCCCGCTATTCACACTATCTACAAGGAACTCAGACAGAAAGTTTACGGAATTGTGTTTAATCATCATCATCTTACATATACAAGGTTAGTTAATAAATTGTTCATTAATAGAAATAAATGTTATTAATTTCTCTTCCTTGTTTTTGTTTGTCGTTTAATGGATTCTTGTGTGCCCTTAAAATTGGCAGTTCAAATTTATATTTTTCATTAAGTTTGGGACATTGGTTTTGGACAGTCTAAAACTTCCCAAAAAAAAATTCCCCGGCCCAGGTTTGTTTTACTTGCTGATTTGGGGAAAATAAGTAAATTTTTGGGTTAAAAGTGATGAAAAGTATATGAAGGATGAAAAAAAACTTGCCTTCAGAAATCCAATTTTTTATTTTTTTCAGATCTTCAAAAAAATAATCCCTGAGTTCTTAAACTTCAGGTGGGGATAATAACCAGAACAGTGAAAGCTAATCTCCACCTAATTGCCATAATAGATACATACAGTGAGCAATAAATAAATGGTTTCATATTTTTTGCCTGTAAAAATATAATTTTTATGTGTATTTTACCAATACATCACTTTTTTATCTTATCTAACTCACCTATAAACATTAAACATGCCTCGAACAGCTTCTCGTTTAAACTTGCCTTGTTCAAGGAATAAATACGAGGACGAGGTCAACTCATTGAAGAAGAAGATCAAGGCGATCAAGGTTCAGCAAAAGAAGATGGCGGGTGGGGAGGTCGTCCTCCACAAGGGGGAGCCCACCCCGGAGAGCGAGGTCCTGGAGGAGAAGCTGGTCGACTCCAACAAGAAGCTGGAACTCATGCAGAAAAATGCTCCCGAGTTGATGGAGATTAAAGTAGGATTTATTTCTTCATCGTTTGTTACTCTGAACTTAAAAGAGAATGTCTTGCTAAGTTCAAGTGACTCTTGATTCAAATGGGGAATTATCGATTTACAAAGGTGCCCTTTTCCCTTGTTCTTAAATACCGATTTACAAAGGTGCCCTCTTCCCTTGTTCTTAAATACCGATTTTTAATAGCTTAGACTAGCTGAAGGGTCTGGCCTTGCCCGAGGAAAAAAATGAGAGAATAAAATTTAGAATAAAAAATGTTCGAATTTTTTCAGCCTTGTAACACCCCCGGCCACCCATGAGCTTCAACAAAATTTTAGCTCAATCTGTCCAGCCGTTTTGCCGGCTATAGGCAACATGTATATATATACGAATGTCTTGTTTTATTATAGCTTAGATAATATTAGGTTAAATAAAAAAGTTTTTTTATATTTACCTGTAATGCAAATTTCTAAACTTATAAATCAGAAAATACGAATATTTATTTAAGGTGAGAGAATGGTTACCCTACAATAACTACTCAACCCCGGAGCTAGTTGAACCTAAGACCTGCCAGTGGTCTGTACCTACCCTGAAAAGGTTGTGGTTCGGAACCAACTTGGAAGATAAACAGAGGAGGCTCAGAGCATTTCTCTCCTGTTTGAATTCAGGTTCGGAGAACTTTTTAAATTTGTGGAATTATTGAAATCAAATATTTTAAGATTCTTGCTCGGACGTTTTATATTAAACTCCAATTTAATTTGTTTTTCTTAAAAAATTGCATTTTATTTATTTTCACTTATTATTTGTTTTATCAAAAAGTCGAGGCGGATCAAATAGTTGTGGGTCTGAGGTATTTGTCCCATATTTTTGGATCCGCATTCGTGAAACCTTTAAACTAGGATCCCATGGTCAGGGATTCATCTGCTTCAGAAACTAAGAATAGGAGAAGAAAAATCTCATTAATATTTAGATTATAAAATATTTAAATTCTAAATTTTGATTTTAATTTTAATTCATCCCTACATTTTGAGTAAAAAAGTGTTAAGCCAGCAACTATTTAACCCTACTTTTATAGATACAAGTCTGATGATGAATACAAGCCATGTTCCCCAGCACCTTCTTCTCATGTGCTGTGTCCTCAGATATATTATGACACAAAAGAGTATTCTCAGAAAACCAGGTTTTAAATCTTTTATTTTAAAGATTTTGCACACATTTCAATAATCTTTAAATGATTTGAACTTGTGCAATGATGCATGCTTGATATGACAGAAAGTTACGATTTTGATAAATGAAAAAAAATAGATATTCTGGCTCAAAATTTTTCGAAAATCTGGTTAAAATCTAAAAATCAAGTGTTTTTGGGACAACAAATCAAAATTCGAACTTCTCGATACTCTTTATCTTCTAACCTTATGATTGTTGTCCATTTCCTTACATTTAAGAATAAAATGAAAAAATCATCGGATTTTTCAATTTTCAAGGGGTAACAAATTATCTTGACTGTCATAAACCTTTTCGTCATGTGAGTTACCAAAGCAAAATTTTGACGTTTATTGGATTCAAACAGTCAGACATGCAAGGTACATTTATTGAAAATAAATCAAAACTTTTTTCTTAGAGTTAGACGCTTTCCTGGTAACCGCCTGCTCCTCTGAACTAATGGACTCTGAGAACCTAGCTCGCATGAAGCTAGACTTGGTGACACCCCGGGGTGTTCAGCTCGCCACCCTCTTCATGCAAGGCGTAGACATGGCCCTGTTCGCCAACGATGCCTGTGGCGCCCCTGTACCATTCCTAATGTGTTGCCCCTGGTTGTTCTTCGACGGGAAGCTGTTCCACAGTAAACTGCGTAGAGCTGTTGTTGCGCAGAATCTGATGGAGATGTGTAATCATGATATGCCGATGGTTCTAAAGGTAACACTGCCCCCTCCCTTCTCTATACTAATATTTCTTTTATTTGGGATAGCGCTTTACAGATTCAGTGACTTAGCTCATTTGAGAGAGCACTTAATAGAATAAGTAACTCAGTATAAACTGTATATTGCAAAATTTTCAAAATTTGTTAAGAATGATTAATTCTTATTTCTTTTGGCTTGGGTATGACCTTGTATTAAGACTTGATCAAATGACTTGAAACAAATGTCTTGAAACAAATGAATTTAGACTTGCATAGATTTGCTCAGATTAGACTGAAAATGCTTCGAGTATGATTAGATTTGTTTAGATTTAAAGTTTGTTTTAAAAATGGAAATGGCTTTGATCTGATGATAGTTTTATAGATTTGATGAAAAGACTTTCATTTAATTGCTTATATTTTTATTAATTTACTTACAGTTGATCATAGTGGATTACAGTTGATTACATTAGTTGATTACAGTTGATTACAGTTGATTACAGTTGATTACATTAGTTGATTACAGTAGATCACAGTTGTTGATTACAGTTGATTACAGTTGATTACAGTTAATTACATTAGTTGATTACAGTAGATCACAGTAGTTGATTACAGTTGATTAATGTTGATTTGATTAAAGTTTATTACAGTATTTGATTACCGTATTTGATTACAGTATTTGATTACAGTAGCTGATTACAGTTGATTACAGTTGATTACATTTTCTTGATACAAGAATAAGGAAAGAAGAGTTGAATGCATATGTTCAGTTCCTCCTCTAGGATTTGATTGAATTTCTTTGTTTTTACTTTATTTTATTTGAGTTGACAAGCTAATAAGACCCTAATCAATGAAAATTGTTTTTAAGCTTTAGGAAGAAAAAAAACATTGTTTCTCTTTCTTAGGTTGAGCAGATGAGAAAAGCAATTCTTGACGGTTTAGTTCCAGAGTTCTCCGGTTCACCTTTCCCAGGTCAAGGACAGGCATTTGGGAACATGAATAAGATGAACATGGTGAACATCAACAACATGAACAGCATGTTCAACCAGAACAAGATGAACATGATGATGAACCAGAGACCTGGGATGATGCAGAACCAAGGCATGATGTCCCGTGGAGGACAGCTGGTGGTGGCGGGGAGCGTTGTGGGACAGTGGGGCGGAAATTTCGGCGGTCAGGGGCGAGGAGGGCATAATCGTAATCCCCGCGAAGCCCCCCGTGGGATGGGTTGGGGCGGGAAGTAAGGGAGACGGGAATGAAACTGAAACCAGTCAAGTTATCTATTTTGTTATCCTGTTATCTTGTTGTTATTGTCTAGTCTGTAAGGGACAAAAAATTCCTCTGAGCTGTGAGTTCTCTCGTTAAGGTTTCAATCAGATATCCTTCTCCTCAACTAGGAGAGATTTTCTCTAACCTAGAGTAAGTGTCCTCATTCCGAAGTAGGTTTCCTCAACCCGAAGTAGTAGGTTACTTAATCCCGGAGCATATTCTCCAAACCTGGAGTAGGATATCTGAATTCAAACCTGAATGGAGGCTAAGAACCTAACCTGTGATTATACCTCGTTGTGCTCTATACACCATCCAGATACTGTATTGAGAAACCACTATATACAGCACACGATGAGGCCAGACCAACCTAGACCAGGACCCGGATACGGTCGGAACCATTCTCCAGAGTATCCACGTCTACCTGGAGTAAGAAACTTCCCGACTAATATCCTGGAGTCCTCGTCTTCACAAGAACTTGAATTAAAAACTAATCAAAGCCTGGGGGTTTAAATATTTAGTAAAAAAAGAGAATTACTGCTGTATCGTCCAGCAGTCAATGAATTATCCAAGCTAAGCGTATTTATCTAATATTCTGATGTAACCTAAGCGTATAATGTTAAAACTATTGAAAGATTGAGATGGAAGGATGGATTATCGTGTTAAGGGATACAGGGGCGAGATATATATTGAACATTATTCCAACATTTGTTTCAAAATGAATTTTAACAATTGTCTTATTATATTATTCAACATTTATTCTTATTAGCTTCCTTCTAAACCTATCTTAATCCCTTTTAACAATATTAATATCTAAAGCACTTCTTTTTATTTCTGAGTTAGAATTTTTGAATATTTTTCTTTTCTTTTCCCGCTAAATTGAAAAAATGAATTGAACTGGCAGGAAAGCTTATTTAGTTAGGAGAAAATCAATATAAAAAACTAAAAAAATAATGTTAGTCTAGTAGGTTTTAAACCATATATCTACCCATTTTATTGTGAAATTAAATTTCGTCCAAATTTTGGATAAATGAAATAATTTTTTGTGCTTAATGTAATTATCTAGACGTCCGAGCAAAAAGTTAATTTTTATAAATTATTTTCAGGATTTTAAAAGTCTCGTTTATCACTTTTTGCCTGGACAACTGGGTCGAGTTTAGGTCTATTTTAAAAGTCAAGTGACAGTCGATCTAAGGAGAGAAATCAAATGCGCGTTTCTACCAGGAAACTTTGCGATTTTCAACCCCAAGATACTGAAAATTTCACTTATTATACCCTAGTATAAGCGATTAATCGCTATTTTATCATTATTATGGCGGAGTTGCCCGCAATCTAGTTGAGGTAACATACCTATTATCCTAGAAGTCTGCGTAGCACGCTGTTTTATCCTAGAAATATGCGCGCTAAGCCGAACCAATCTCGCAATCCGGAAACCGGTTTTGCCTGATTTAAAGTTGTTATGGGGTGTTTTGTAAACATTAGTTCATCGTCTGGTTTCATGTGCTTAAAACAAAAATTTGAAATAAATTGTTTTATTATGAAAAGTTGGATTTTATTCATGCTATATCATGAAAGCGTGGAAGTGACTTTTTTTTATAGAGTAACAAACCTTAATTCAATAATCTCACATTTCATATTTTTAATGATCTATTCGTAAATTTCTTATGCTTGAAATGCCTCCAATCAAAAAGTTCAACTGTTTAAAATAAAATATACAAATGGAAAGAAAAAAACATTTTATCCGATAAATAAAATTAGAAATGCGTGATGTTTGAAAAGATTGACTGCTTCTTATTTAAATTTTTTAAATATTAATTTGACAGATGTGTTTTTAGAATGAAACGTTGATCTGAATTTACATTCGTAAAATGTGCGAAACTACATAAGTAGGTGGATAACTTTTCGGAATAAATTAAAATTTATTATTATTGATTCGACTAAATAAATATTTTCGTGAGTCAGTTAAGGATATCAGAAAAATAATATTTTTTGCGCTAAATATTACCGCATGTATGATGTAAAGTAATATTTTTGAATTTTCTTTTTTGGTAATTTTGATTATTAACATACAACTACAGTTAAACCCTAAATATTAAATACATTGAAAGAATTTATCAAATGTCGTATTCTTTACGTTTTAATAATGGAATGTTGCAGATATTTGGTTTTTATTTAAATGATCATATGGAGCTCATTAAAACTCTTCCCGTATATTCATGCCTATTTATTTAATTTCGCAAATACTAAGATTTACTTAAATTAGTATAAAACCCTTTTAAAAATTGTCAAGACGATATTTCATAAATTCTTTCGATGTATTTAATATTTATGGTTTAACTGTATTTAAAATTTAGGCAAACCTCCCTAAAATTGAATAATAAGTTTTGCTTACGAAAAGTACCTTTATATCGGCTAAAACTTAAATATTTTTAAAGCTAAGTATGTTTTGACGATCTTGATTTGGCTAAAATTTAAAATGCCTTTTTTAAGATTTAAATTACATTTCTGAAGTTAATGCTGTCTGGAGTTAAATTGAAGGATACTTTGATTGTGGTCCCTAGGGAGCAAGATTGGGTTAACTCTTCTACCCTACTTTAAAGGGAAGCATCGCGAAACAAGCTAAAGGAAGAGTTAATTTAATATAATTTAATTTCTATTTTATGTTGCTAGAAAGAACCCCATTTGATTTATAACCGGATAGATTACCGTTTTCATCCTTTTGATAATAAATACCTCTCATCGTTGAACAATTTTTGTATGCCTTTGCCCCGCTTCGTCTAAATGAGTTATATCTGTCTGCTTGGTAATGTTACTTCTGTCCTACAGCATTTCCGTCCTACGATACTTCGGACCTAAGACAGCTGTAGGTCGGATGTACATTCTAGTGTGTTAATCCGACCTACGCATGAACTGCAGATATTGTCAGTATGTAGTGCTTCCAGAAGGAACAATGTTCCGGTTGCACACAAATTTAAGACATATGGTCTGATGCACACTTTTTGAGGTCGGATGCACACTTCAGGCGCGCAACTAGACATTTGGTTAGGGGGGGGCTAGGTGGAAATATTTCGCGCGAAGCGCGAAAATTTTTTTTGGCCCCCCCCTTAACATTTTTAGGGGGGGGGCAAGAAAAATGTGTGTTATACTTAAAAAATAAGAAACTAACCTTACCAACCTGTATTCAGTAAGTCAACACATCTGATATGAAATAAAACAAGAAATCTATTCTGGTCAGGGGTGGATACAGCTGGGGGGAGGCGGGGGAAATTTGCCCCCCCCTGAATTTGGAATTTTTTGTTCCTATTTTCAGAATAGCTTCTCAATAGCATGCTTAATTGGGAAAGAAACCCTAGTGCAAAACAGGAAAAATATCTGTCTTGATAAACTATAATGTGTGAAAAGTTAAATCTAGTTTTTTAGTCTTTTGTCATTAATTTTCACTCTTTTTGAGTCTTTTAAGTCAAACAAAATTTTTGCCTGCGCCGCGATTTTTGGTTCCTAATTATGAATTTTTTTGTTCATAAAAAATCTTGCCCCCCCCCCCTCACTTAAATCCTTTATCCGCCCCTGATTCTGGTATAAATCACAAAAATAATTAATTTACAATACAAATTACATATATATTATATATGAATAAATTTTCATTAGTTATCCATAAATCAATTATATGTACATTGTACTCAAAAACTGACAAGAAATGCCTTTCATTAAAAATTCATGATTTTACATGAAAAATATTTTTTTTAATATGACACATCACACAATATTTGCGGTGAACATGAAGGATTAATTTAATAGTTGTACTACAGTATTACAGCAATATCATAATAAGTGGCAGAACTGATAGTGAAAATATCTAAAAAATACTTAATAAACCCCCTTTCCCTTTCCCAGGAAAAAAACAGAATAATGAAAACAACAAAGATTAAGGCACCTTGGAACCTTGTCAACCTGTTCTGATCTACGGCAGTAGTTAGGCTCGGAGACGAAGGGGGTCTGTGTGTGTGTAATGTGTATATATGGTGTATTAAGTGCTGTATCGATTGAACTATAAGCTCAATAAACTAACGTTCAATTATCTTTTTTTTTTATGATAAGAGCTCTTAAGTTTCCTCAGGGTCAGGATTCATGAATCGCTAAATTGCAAAACAGGGTGGACTTGGTCACTTCTTGCCCCCCCCTACAGGGGGGGGCAAGACTTCTTAAGGGAGGGCCTGGCCCCCCTGGCCCCCCCCCTAGTTGCGCGCCTGGCACACTTTAGTAGGTCGGATGCACACCTTTAGTAGGTCGGATGCACACCTTTAGTAGGTCGGATGCACAACTTTAGTAGGTCGGATGCACAACTTTAGTAGGTCGGATGCACAACGTTTTGATAGGTCGGATGCACAATTTTTTAGGTTGGTTGCACTCTTCTTTAGGTCGGACGCACAATAAATGTCAACTTAGCCTAATCTATAACCCCACATATCGGCTATAACTTTGTCATTTGATAAATGTGGCCATAGCGCTCGGCCCCCTAGCCGCAGCGCTTGGCCCAGAAATTGTTTTAACCTAACCCCACATATTTGCTATAACTTTGTCATTTTGATAAATGTGGCCACAGCGCTCGGCCCCCTAGCCGCAGTGCAACTTGTGCTGTGCAACCGACCTATACCTATAGGTTGGATACACTAACTTTTTTTATGGAGTGTGTATCCGACCTACAGTACATCGGACCGGCCACTCAGAATCGTTTGTAAACAATGAAGTATGCTCTGCTAAAGATTGTTTTTGTTCGTCTCTTTGTGAAAATGTTATATTGCATTTTGTAAAAGAAAGAAATCCCCATGGGAAAAAATTAGGAAGCAATGCTAGGTAACCGGCAAAAAAGTTCACTGAAAAAAAGTTTTCGGAAATGAAGTCCTTTTGGCACTAAAAAAGTTATTTGGAAAAAACTCCTTGGTATAAAAGTCTCTGGAAATAAAGGCCTACCATTTTGAGACTTTATTTTCTAGGACTTATTTTCTGGTTCCAGGATGATTTTTTACAAAAAGTCCTTTTAAAGTGTAAACTGCATGGAAACAAAAGATGTTTACAACCATGGAAAAAAGGGACTTGATATTAAAAATACCCGTGGGCCGTGGGTATATTCAATATCATAGAAGATAAGTCTAAGTATTGACCCCATTTTCCCAAGACATGAAACTTTTTTTATCCTGTTATCTTATTTCCTCAGACTGTATTGGCAGCCCCCATATTATTTTAGGGAAAAAACGTCCCAGGAATCTAAAACTCAGTACTTTTCCAGCGACATTTTCTCCTAGGACTTCAGAAAATTGAGACTTTTTTACCAAAGGTTTTTTTCCAGGTTTTTTTTCAGAAATTTTTCTTACATAGGTTCCAATACCCTGCCTACAGATGAGAGAGTTCAATCGATAAAGTAGGATCAAAATGTTTTTAATTTTTACCATTTCCTCAATTGTTTCAAATGCTTAAACTCCACATAGTCACTTTGTAGAGAAACCACAGATAACAATCTATTTTCAAAGAGAAAATTATAGATATCATGCAATCCTAATCAAACATAGCTTCTACAGGTACCGTTGTGTATCGTACATGCCTCTCTATAAAGGAAAAGATAATTGAAATTGAATGTCTACAGGCTGCAGGAATACAAAACTAACACTTGCATAAAGCATATGCTATAATTGTTTATCAAGTAGGTGGGGGGAGGGAGATTTTAGAATAAGGTAAAATTTGAAAATAAATGGCGCGAAGCGCGAAGAAAAGTTTTCAATACTTTATAAGGGGGAAACGCTCATTTGCAAATGGGTGCAAGCTCATTTTTACTCAGCACACCTGACTTTTAAGACTTGCCCATTAACCCCGGGTGAGGGGGGGAAGGTAACTAATGCGCCCCCCTCTGTCTACGCGCCTCATTAAGCGAACTCTAAACGTAAATTTACGGATGTTAAGTACATTTACAAAGGGGGTTTCCCAAGCAGCAACTTCCCAAGGATATTTTCCCAAGTGGCAACTTCTCAACTTTGTCCTGACCGCAGTGCTCGAACTAGCCTGTTCAAGCCACAGTGCTCGAACTAGCATGCTTGAGCCGCAGTGCTTGGCCCACGCAGCAGCCTACGGCTCATCAGAATGCCTAACCTAACTTTTTGGAAAATACCTAAAACCATTTCATGTGACCATCCAGTTTTAAAATAGATAGTATGTCTGATTCACAACGGTACCCTTTAACCCTGTGTCTAATGAAGAATGAACGAGTTAACCAAGTTTTTTTTCTAATTAGAAAATCAACGATATTTTCCCGATTATTGATCAAATAAAGAATTCCTTTGCGAAATAGATATGATCCTCTTTAAATCTAAGTATATATTCATACACATACATACAAACATACATACATACATACATACATACATACATACATACATACATACATACATACATGCATACATACATACATACATACACCTATACATACATACATACATACATGCATACATACATACATACATACATACATACATACATACATACATACATACAT